ACCTTGATGTGGCAACCTGCTAGTTGCTACTATACAGAGTTGAAATATTTAGCACTGTGTATCAGTTAGGATACATAACAGCTCTTCTTATAGCAGAAGGGTTTTTTCAGCTCATCTTTTCCTTAGCTGGGTATGACAAACAGCTGTCAGCACTAAATGAGTTGCTCTTCAGCTATTCAAATACTGAGTACAGCTCCAGAAATAAGAAAAGTAGTCCTTATTGGTCCAGGATTGAAGAAACGGAAATGTAAGCTATCGAGCTGTATTGCTTAACTGATGTAAGCCTATGAAAAGCAGAATAGCCAACAGCTGTGGGACTGAGGCTGTCTACATACATCCTGATATGCATCCTGGTGCTCTGAAGTCACAGAATTAAAATATATCCTTTCTGTGAAAGGTACATTTTGTACCTGTGATCAGACAACAAGGTATTCATAGTATGTATGAATCTGTCCAAAGGGAGAAATAGGAATAATTTCTGTTTAACTGTATTCATTTGCAGAGGAAGAGGGTTTTTAAGAAAGAGTAGCTTATTTTAATGAATTACGTAGTTTTTAAAATTTGCGTGCAAAACAGCTATATTATTTTCTAGTTGTTAATGGTTCTGTTGAAGGGAAAAGGAGGAGAGGAGAAATATCCTGTTTTTAAATGAGATCAAACTATGCTGCTAGTTGCATAGCATTGCTATTACTGAAATCTAAGCTTTGTTGTAAGGTAGAAGTGGCGAATCTGGGTTACATGCTGAAGTATGTTTTTTCTTGTTGTATCATCTTTTCATATAAATTCACTCTCCAAATGCTTTGCTAATTCATATAATGTACTTACAGAGATAATAGCAACAGCAAAGCATGAAAAGCATGAAGGAGAAGTTAAGATTTCATTCAAGATTTAATGGCAAAATGGACAAGAAAGCAATGTTTTAGTTAAGAACAGAGGAAGTAAAATAGTTGTCCTTATTTCTACTGTATGTTCAAGAAGATAAAATAAGTAGGCTTTTTCTACTTTGTCTAAGGACTGTACAAGACGATAAAGACTTGAGGTAGTAGAAGTGAGAAAAAACCTTGTATATTTCTTTTCCCTGTCTGAAATACTTCTTTGCCTTGGTAATGAAGGAAGAATTGCCGTAAAGGGTAGTGAGTAGGGGGCATTTGAATTGCACAGTCATGGGTTCAAATTACAGCAAATGGTAATACACGTCTGGAATGATCTATTCTACCTCTTCTAATAAATTTTTTATAGTAGTTTACTAGATCTGTTTAGCATTTTTTTAAATTATATAGCTGCTCTGTATTTTAGGGCTAGTTACATCTAAAGGTATGTTAGCATGTGGTTTCTTGTTCAACCACTGGATATCCCTGCATGCTAGGTAGTTTTTCCCTAAACAGAGGAGACAAGGTTGGGCTTCGTTATACGCTATTTTCCTGAGAAAGTTTCATCTGCTTAAAATGGACCATATTCAATAAATTGTAACTCTGCTCACTGTTAACACACTTGATTTTCAGTATTTAACGACACTGACCTGTGTGTGAGTCTGTATCTAGAGAGAGAGAGAGGCAAGCAATGGTAATTATAAAGTTAAAAGACAAGCAAAATTTAATGAATTCATCACAATTTTCTTCTTGCAATCTATGCAAAATCCTAGGGACTTCCCTGGAATTGTTAGATATCCATGTTCAGCTGAGCAGATCGAATTGCTGTACTGGGGGTCATATAATGAGACGACACAGTTATGACTTCAGATAGAAACAAGACATAATCATAATTAAAAAGTGACTCCACAGTTTCAGTCTCTTTTTAAATGTACAACAACTTCAGATTTTCACTTCATATTTGAAATCTCATTAATATCTTTTCAGTTTTTCAGTCACATATGCTTCTTCGTTCTTGCCCTTTCTCGCAGTGACCACATCTAAGTGCTAACTGCATAAGCAGCACTCATTATTTGCTTATTCAAGTATAGCAGGATATTCAATTTCAGTTTTTTGAATTAAAGAGATGGAAGATGCCTCCTAGTTCTCCAGGTGATGCTTAAAAGAGCTCAGAATTTTATAGTTCACTAGTTAAGATATCTTTTGGAGGTTAAGCTAATGACATTTTTTATGCCTTATTAGCCATCTGACAGTGCACTAACACAAATATATTCAACTTTTTTTTTTTTAAGAGAAAGGTAACTAATGCAATCACATAAAACATCACTTAATACTGAAAACGCCAAGTAGTAGTGCAGAACTACAGTGTAAGTTTGAGGGTAATGTGTTATGCAAAGGTACAATATTTATTGTCCACGGTTCCTGAAATCTTTCACTCTAAGTGTTTTTCTTTTTTGAAAAAAAAAAAAAAAAAAAAAAAAAAAAGCCCCCTGTGTTGGGGGGCTAACTGTTGTATTATAAATGGTTTAAAAAGCAGGATATGCCTTCCTAGGTATGGTTCCTTGTCCTCAGTGAGGAAATTAAATATACAAAGGGAGAAAAAAAAAAGCCAAAGAATTGCGACATTGGTTAAAAAACAACAGCTTTTCTGTGATCAGTGGAATATCGAGGCACAGTAGAATACACTGTGTAAAGGTCCAACATTTTGTGCCTTGCATGATCCACCTGTGATGAGGCATTAGTATGTCTCTGCACCATTCCCTCAGCACGAGCTGCATGCACTGAAAGTATGCCCATTGGGGTGGCTATTTGTCCTGTAGTGGAACTTAAGGATTCAAGTATTAGGTAGGCACGACTTTCTGTACGAACATCATCAAGTCTAGAAAGAAAATAACTTCCTGTCCCTCCAATCTAGATATAACGAGAGACGATTAATGTGTGAAAGTGAGTAAGGAAGAATAAACTGAACTAATTCTGAAAAATGTTCTAGTGATAGCATACAAACTGTCTTACCACCTGTGAGCTTTTCATAGGTCTGACAAGGCAAACAGGGTAAAGCAACTGAACAGTGCTGCCTTATCAGGACCCGCATCTTGACTGAGCAAAACAGAAACAGAAGATCTGAGCAGAGTTGTATGTATAAAAAATGGCACTGTTCTTCCCCTTGATGCTATTCAATAGTCACTGCTACCATTCTATCTTCAGCACCAATAGTGCCGGTGATAGTAGGCATGAAACAGCTACGTTATGAATTATGTCTTATACTTGGGAAGGAACTTGTAGAAATAAATGAGGGAGATGGTGCCAGAAATGTATGAGCCCAAACAATTATTTTGGCAGCAAAATTTGGACAGATACAAGTGAAGGCATATGGTGTTTTGGCCAGAGGGGTGGAAACTTCAGTAGCCTAGACGTGACAGAAGGAAGTCTTGGATAAAAACCTGTTTCTCCTCTCATTCCAGACAGCTCAACTTCTTAAATACCATGGGCTTGAGGAACCTTTGAGATATATTTGTTGTGGGATTAAATGGAGGGACAGCTCAAAATTGACTACAAATTGTGTAACTGAGTGGGAGGACAGTTGGGGCTGTCCTAAATCTAAGACAAAAAAAAAAAAAAAAAGGTTATTTTGTGAAGAAAAGGAGGAAGGGCTCTATTTTAATTGTGTTGAGACTGGATGACAACTGGGCAATAACAAGAAACATTAGAAGATAAAGCCAAGATAGGGGTGTGGGGGGTGGGGGGAGGGGGGTGGGGGGAGAAGTAATTCAGTCATTTGGAACTTCCTCTAGGAGATATATTAATAATATATGAAGTGTGCATCTTGTGACTCCATAGTCACAAGAATTTCCTGAATGTCCCTGGTTGCCGTGGAGATGAGCATCTAAGGGCTGAAAAAGTTTGTTTAAATTTGAGGTTCTACTTTAGAAAACTAAACACGTTTCTTGCCTTCAGTATGGAGCTTCTTAAGCTCAGAGCAAGAGTTTGGTAAGAACAGGAAAAGTTCAGTAAATAGTATTTATGAACAGGTAAATTTGGTGGATTTTTTTTCTTTTTTACTTCTTTCCTAGAGGACAAATCATCTGAAATGGCAGTTGGGTTGGTGAGGCATGTCTTTTCTCAGACTGAAATGCTCTGACACATGGAGAGTGCAAACTAAATAGGCTAAAGCTCTCTTCCACCTCATGACTAGAGCTCCCTCATCCCTGCATAGCAAGGTGATATGGATACATTCCCTCTGTGTGCAGATGATATAATCCGTCTCACCACATACGAGGGCTATGTGGGATAGAATAATGAGCGTTGTTGAGCAATTATAAAACACAAGCACCAAATTTGTATGAGTAACAGAAAGCAAGAAAATCTGTTTCTAAAGCTGTGAGTATGAATCCTCTTCTGTTTTCTGCAATATGCCCAAAAATTTGCTTCTTTGAGAACAGAGTGCAGTTCAGGAAATTTCAAAAGAGAGGAGGGGGGACACTGTCACATTTGCTGTTGGTCTTCTGTTTCCTTCATGTCTCAATGTATTACTGAAAATTGAAGACAAGCTTATGATATGTACATCAAAAGGAACTTTTCCTATGATGAATGATAGGGGGACAAGGTCAGTAGCAGAAGTGATTTAAACATTTGCTAAGATCTGTTGTATTATTCCACTGTAAAGTTTGTGAGGCAGGAACACAATACTGCTATTAAATACTGAGCCAGATTTTTCTACTTACATTTCTCTGTTCATAAAAAACCAAAAACATTGTTTTCTCAAAAATCCAAATTTAAGATCCCTGCCATCATGTGTCAGTTGGCTGTGATTTCATGTTTGCTTGAAAGATGCTTAGGATGCACTAACAGTTCTCTAGGAGGAAGCAAAACCATTCTGAGAACTAGTTTAGAAACTGAACACAATGTAGGTTATTAGAGCTCAGAAAAATAACAGCTGCTGGTAATTTCTAAATAATTTTACCTTAATACTTGTGTAAGGAAAAATGAATATTTTTTTCATTATTTTCAAAACAAATCACCCTCGAGTTGAATAAAAGTAGTAGACATTAAATGGTTGGCTGAAAATATTGATAGCAATACTATGCAACACTGGCAAAACATGCTCATTTGGGGATGGTATTACTGTTGCAGAGCTATAAGAACACATTTGGGAGGAAGGAAAGGGGGAAGGAAAAAAGAAAACGATACACAAACACATTTGAAAACTACAGCTACTTCAGTGAAAAAGGTAACGAGCAAGAGGTGGTATGAACAAGATTTTCTTGATAAAAAGTTATTGCCAAGAAAAGTCTTCATGTAGCGCAAGTTCCCTATAGTGTACCCTTTCTATTCTACAGTCTCATTACTCTAGTGCTGTGTTCATAATGATTGGAGTAATAGATTTTTTTATTTTTATTTTTTTACCTGGAGTAACCAAAAATGTCTTGGCTGAAATCAGGCACTGCCCGTGGCCCTCCCGTGCTCCCAGGACACAGCCCTCCAGGGCATGGGGTAGAAGCTGGGTCTCGATATCTGGGGAGGCTCCCCATGGGTCTCGATATCTGGGGAGGCTTCCCATGTGCCCTCCTAGGCACGCCTGCCCATTGGGGACTCCTTTGCCCCGTTGTTGCGGGAACTCAGAAACGATCGTGCCACTGTGAAACTGTTTTAATAAAGACTTTATCAATATTTAATGCATATTAGGACTTAAATAGAAAATATTTATAAGGAATAAATGGCATTAAATTAAGAATTATAATTTCCAGTAACTTCTCTTATTTTATTAATATTTAGAGAATTTCTCCTCTAATCCTTTTCACAGATCATTCTGCTCAGGGCTGCTGTTTCAATAGAGCTCCGTTCTCGGCCTCGTCATTTAAGTTCCCCATTTAATTTATATATAAAAAATTCAACAGGTTTAATGTTCCAGTTTCTCATTCTTTTAATTAAAATGGAAAATATGCCCCTTTGTGTACCTCTTCAAGTACTGAAGATTTGAGCCATCTAAGACAGCTGTAAAGAAGATTTTGCAGAACTTTGTGTTTCTGTCTTGTTCCTTAAGATACACTGGACAAAAGAGAGATGATAAACTTTAAATGTTGAATTTATTAGAAGCATAACGAACAATAATAAACTTGATTTTACCAAGGCATCTCTAGGTTTCATTTTCCTGTAAATTAACCTAGCCAGTGATTACAGTGGATTTTTAGATCAGATCTCCAAATTTCCTTGCATATCTTATGGCACAGATTGCTATGATGGCAGGTTAAAAGTTTGTAAGGTCTCTGCATTCCACAATTTTTGCTGATTGCTGTTGAGTTATATGAAGCCCTCCATTTCTGGCAGTACTGTGTCTTCACAGCACCTGCTGCCTCCAAGTGGGAAGCCTTGATTTAAGTCAGTAAAACCAAGGGAAGGAGGTGTATTAACTTTCTGGAGACTGGGGTCAGAACCTGTGAGACTAGGAAATCTGTTTGCCTGCAGAGTGCTCAGAAACCCCTGTCACAGAGGCTGGTTGCAGTTTTTAATTTATTTCCATTCAAAGCCTTAACAAATCAAGTCTGAAAGGCAGCACCTACTTCCCCTTCAAAGCAGTGCTAAAATGATCAACTTCAGTCAGATAATCTAGCACTAGATCAAAACCCCTCAGGGAAATATTTACATTTTGCCAGTTTACTCAGAGGAATGGCTCTGGGGATCTGGAGATATCCTTGGCATTTTTATTTTTATTTTTTTCCATCTGAAGGAAACACTGATGCCAGAGCTGAAGCTAGTGATTTAATCATAGGATTGCTAGAGGCTGCAGTACCCTATCTGCTCAGAAATCGATATCTATGCTCTCAGTTATATTAGAGAAATGTTTGCTTCTTCACCTGACCAAGATATTAATTTGTATATGCTGTGTTGTCTGTTTTTTTTAAGTTAATGATTTGTGAGGAGAGTAGCTTAATCTATTTTGAAATCCTCTCATGCTGCACCATTTCCCTGTTATTGACTGATTATTTTGCATGTATATATAGCACCATTCACATGCATCAAGATGCCCTACAAAGAATCTGAAATGCTCTGTATGTAGGAAGCAATGTACTGCTCTGCTGAAACACAGCCTTCAGCAGGGCAGTGTGAAGTAGCAACCTTCACACTGCTGGAGCAACTGATTTCAGCTCAGGAGGCGAATTCAGGTGGTGCATCAGGGGAATTTAAGTGGGTGCAATGCAATTACCTGCATTGGGATATGATCAGGTTGCCAGCATTAAACTGTAGTCCTGTGAAAGGCACTGTGGGATTTTTAATGGCTACAAGCTGGATCGAGTTTTATTTCCCATCCTGAGGATGAAATCTCTGTTAGCAGCATGCCTCCTGCCAGTGGCTGTAATGTTGGTGTAACAGGGACCCATGTGGAAGGATGCGAGCTCCTATAGTGAGTTGCTGCTGCCACCACTGCTGCCTGCTTGGAGGAGGGCAAGGTGGAGGCGTGCAAGGCAAAAAGTGATTTGCCTACTGCTGGAGATGACTCTGTGACAGTGCATGGAGCTGAGCAGGACAGTGGAGGTGCTGCTGTGCCACCTCCTTCGTGACTGAATGTGCTTCCTCGTGGAAGTGTGCTACAGCATCCAGCTGTCCACAGGCTGACCTGCCTCTGCTTCATTTGCTTAACGAGAAGCGACGAGATCGCGCCTCAAGGTGGTTGGCTACAAAGAGCATGTTAAACATGTCAGTGCAGGTGATTCTCCTGCTATATAAATTGACAGCCTAGGATTAGCTGGTATGGTGTTGGAAATCTATTAACATTTGAGGCAGTTTGCTTGAATTAGAAGTCTTGATAGAATTACAATTACTTTCCTTCTCCTCCATGAGCTTTGTTGCTATCTTTGTGTATGTCGTAATGAGAATGCTTATAAGCCAAAGATGATCTTTTCCAAAATCTTATGTGGAGCCACATTCTTATTCTAGATTTATATTCCTATGTGGGCAAGGTAGAAGTGAATGAAGGGAAGAAACAAAAGCAGAAGCATTGGGTTTTGTAGCTTGACAAGGCAACAGGACATGCTGAAGTCTAGAGGTGTGGAAGTGGGGAGATGTAAAGGCTGTGGCCTTGGGAACTGGCATACATTGGCAGTTTTCAGAATGGTACAGGACATGGGTGAGAGTATTTTGCTGCTTATACACTCAGTGCAGGGTGATGCAGGTAGAATAACAAAAGAAGGCATTGTCTCAGTCAGGGAACTGGAGGCATGTAACCTTTTCTGACTGGGACTCTAGGTCTTTCTGGACTCAAGCTGGCCGTTAGGGATGGACAATGTCTACTAGTATAAAAGGCTGAGGATGCGCCAGTTCCTCATAACTGCAACTAAAAAGTTAGGAACCTACAGTCTGCCTCCATCCCCTGGTGAATGACTCCTAGATAGCTTTATAAAAGCGGAGTGAAGAATTACTGCTAGTAGTTCTAATGCGTGTGGAGTGGCACCACAAATAGTACAGCATGAGAGGATGTGAAGAGAAGGCTTCAGGAAGTGGAGCCAGCTGCATGGTGAGTTCAGGTCAGAAACCTGGGAAACAGCTGTGAAAAGTGTACAGGTTGGCACGGCCTGCTCTGCTGAGCAGCCAGAGGAAGACAAAATGGGAGGGAGAAAATAGCGACTAACATCACCTGGGGAAAAAATGAGTGGTCTATCAAGGAAATAACCCTTGGGCCTCACAACTCAAGGTCAAGGTGGGAGGAAATAAGAAGGAACTGAGAAGTGGTCTCAGAAGTCTGACCCAGAAACAGGTGAAATGCAGAGTACAGAAAAATATTGCCTGCTGTATAGAAGAAGACGTCATTGCATGTTTTTCCTCAAATAAGAGGTTGCTTTAAAGTAAAGATGGCAGAAGACAGCAAACCATCCCTCATGAGCTGTAAGAATGAGGTGCAGCGTCAAGTGGTTATGCATTTATATTGAAACAAAACAAAAACTGTGCTTCTCCTACAGTATTTCAGGTGTCTTATAGGAACTCAGAAATACCTTAGATTTCGTTTTCATCAGTTCTACTATTTGTTTTTTACTTCTGAATGCTTTAGCTCAAGCTGTATTGCTATTCTTACCAGAATTTGATCTGTGTATGCCTCAAATGGATCAGGCTTAGTTGAAAACTCTTGTTCCTTATGCTAGTACAGTGCCTATGTACTCGAGTGAATTCATATTTTGAATAGTCCTTTCTCGGTGCATGTCTTCTATCCAAAATATTCCAGATTTTCTGTCTTGTATGCTGTGATCATCTCTATGAACATTAAAATCACTGACTATTATGTACCCGCCATAATGCACCCTTCTCCTGACACGGCCATCTTTGAGTCATGCCAGGAAAAAATCCTGCTTTATCTAAATGTGAAAAATCATTTCATCCCTATTAAAACTCTTCATAGCCTCCAGTCAGCTCTTGGACCTTATTTCTGGCAGGCAGCATGTCATTTCATCTGATCTTCACCTTCTTCTCCAGTAATGTCTAGGTTGCTTGCATATCCTATTCCTTTAGCTCCTTCAGGTAACACTTTCTGTATAAAAGCTTCTATCATGTATTCATTCCAGGCTGTCCAATATATATGTCACATCTGAAGCCAGTCATTTCAGTTCATAATTCTTTTCTCTAAGTAACAGTTCATCTGTTGATAGTCTCTGCAGTTTAAAAGTTCTTGCAGTTCATTGCTTAAGTAGGTAAAGAGGAAAAAGCATCTATGAAATCAAGATACATGGTTAATATTTACTGAATATAGAACAGTTTTAACAAAGGAAAACTTTTAAATTTTGGAAGCTTAAATGTATGTTGATTGTGGGAAAATAAATCCAGTTGCCAATGTCAATGTTCGGTGCAAAGTGCTCATGAAACTCATATTTACTAATCAGTAACAATTTGGTTCTCTAAATACAATCAGTTTTGATTCAATCAGTTCTCATTCATCAAAAATTTGACTTTGATATAATAGAAATACAGAGGGTTATTCAGTCCTGAAAAGTCTCCATTTATATAAAAACACTAACTCCATTACATTTTCTGTAGTTATTAAATTTTTGCTGATTTTTTTAAACTTAGTCTATACAATGAATAAAATGTTTTCATGTTAATTTATACAATCAACCATTAGACATACAAACCAAACCCTGTAGTTCACAAAGGTCATATTGTTAAATATCTTGCAATATGTTTTATTGTACTATAAAAATAAAAACATTTCTTGAAGCAGGAATAGTTTTAAAATCTGCAATGCTAAGTCTAGTGCCAACTCCAACAATCCAGAACTTCTGAGGAAGAATGGGGAGGAATCGGTTTTAAGTTTATAATAAAATCCAGAGTGGAAAGGAAATGTCAAAGATGCATCACATTTCCAACTAAGGAACTCCAATAACTAAGTCAGTATTTGCACTACATAATCACAGTGGAGTTAACAGCCACCTTTTATGCACAGGTCTGCAGAGATAAATGTCTCAAAATTGGGGGAAAAGGAAATATTCATCTAACATTTAAACTAACATCTAGTCATGAATGAGCTTGGAAACTAGCTGTACTTGTAAATGCCAAATATTTGTATTTGTTATTTATATACAAATTTGTATATATAAATACTTGTAATATAAATATTCCTTAATGTATTTGTTTTAGTTTTTGTTTCTTGTTTTTTTTAGAAATCAGTTCAGTTGTTTCAATATTGGAAATACCCTTCCCTCCTCTTAATAATATTGGATAAACCAAAATAAGTAGAATACTGGGACTCATCTATTTTCACTAGAGGTTATAAACAGATGGAGCGTTTCCAAGAATGGATGAATGGAACAAATAATTTATCAAATAGATCAATATCATTTGCTGTACCTAAAAAGAGCAGATACTTTCAGGCAATAGTCTTCCTTCATCCAGCCATCCTTTAGTCCATCTGTCCTTCACTAATACATTTTCTAGTCCTTTTCATGGCCATATACCAAAAAAAATATTTCCTGAAACTTCCTGATGGTTGGCCAGATATGAGAGCCGTTTCCTATCTCTTTTCTAGGCCTTAAGTCAAATTCCCCAGAACATGATTTCGCATATGTACTCTGCATTATGCAGCTATAACCACATGGAGAGGAAGATAAACCAGTGTACTGGTGGATACACCTGTAATAATTGGATAGTTCA